GGTTAGGGTTAGGTTAGGGTTAGGGTTAGGGTTAGGGTTAGGGTTAGGGTTAGGGTTAGGGTTAGGGTTAGGGTTATCGTATATATCGTATAAAATCGTATATATAATATCGTACCAAAAGCAACGGTAGTTATTATTCGCCGATAGATGGCGCTGGCATCACTACCGTGACTTTAAGAGAAAAAAAATCGGCGACGGTACCGTTGCAGGAGACACAGCCTAAATATTTATACAGCTAAACTTGTAACTGTTAAATTATTGACCAATAAATGATGTACATACATGCATGAGCTCTACATATATGATGCTTAACAAATCGACTAACAAGCGTGAATACCGAATGTGTCGGACCTAGCATCCGTTAATATACAATATTCAATACAAACTTACAACGTGTGGGCCATTTGCGTCCGGGAAAATAGACAAACTTGTCAAACCATACGACCGTGTTCTGAACACGGAAATGCGCGCACCGGAGGCACTCTTGACAACAAAAGAGCAGTAACTTCCTGCACTATAATTCCGCATAACACATTGCAAAGGTGGCAGCACCTATCAATAACCCGCAAACGCGATCTATCCACTGATCTCTATAAGAGAACAGACCACTATTAAATTCTCCATAGGATCCTATACTTAAGAATTGAATTTCAGGAGCTGAAAAATAGTATTCCGGCCGTTTTCGGCCGAGTGGCAATATTAAAGCTAGGTAGCCATGTACTTCAGCTGTGCACCATTAGAGTTATGACATATGTTGTCCGGCGTTTTAAAAAAATATCGCGAATTTACTAATCGACACCACATTTGGCCTGAAAAACAGTCGTGCAGTCGAATGGTGGCCATACATTGAAAGAATTCGTTTTATATTACCAGTAACCATCCACCCATCTCCATGTGCATGTCATTGACACACACGATAGCCAGCCTAAGCAACCACAAAACGTCACGTCAGCTTTAGTGCACAAGCTGGTGGCACTCCGATTGGTCGGCCGATGACGCGTCACATCCTCTAACCAAACAGGGTAATGAACCGGTAGTGATTTAATAGTGGTCACGTGTCTGTATAGAAACGTTTTTATCGGAATCTGTCAAACGCAATAAAATTCGTTCCGACAAACACCGCTGCACACGGGTGCAAAAGTTTTGTTTAATTCGCTGTTCGGTTTTTGAGTTTTGGCGATTTCTTCGACCCCACCCTCCCGGCAGTGACAGAAAGGTGTGACAGAAACCGGCAGTGAATACCGAATGTGTCCGACCTAGCATTCGTTAATATACAATATTCAATACAAACTTACAACGTGTGGGTCATTTGCGTCCGGGAAAATAGACAAACTTGTCAAACAATACGACCGTGTTCTGAACACGAAATTGCGCGCACCGGAGGCAATCTTGACAACAAAAGAGCAGTAACTTCCTGCACTATAATTCCGCATAACACATTACAAAGGTGGCAGCACCTATCAATAACCCGCAAACGCGATCTATCATGTTTCGGAGTGCCAAAATATATCATCCGCTATAGAACCTGTCGGATCCAGCACAGTCAATATAGCGCGATATCAGATCCGGGTATAAACACAGTTTCCGACTTGGTTCTCTCTTCTTCTTGCATATAATGCAGTATGCAGTATATTAACTTCTTTCTTCTCTTAGCTTCTAATCCGGGTATAAACACAGAGTTTCCGACTTGGTTGTCTTTTTCTTGCTTCTAATGCAGGATGCTGAGTATATCAAAGTAGTATCAAGAGCTAATAAACGCCTTTTATTGCTTGTTACCAAAAAAGGTGTTTATTAGCTCTTGGTAGTATGCAGTATATTAACTTCTTTCCATTTCTTGCTTCTAATGCAGTATGCAGTATATTAACTTCGTTCTTCTTCTTGCTTCTAACGCAGTATAGAGTATATTAACTTCTTCACTGCTGCACCAACACTGTCGCACCTTCACATGTAAAACTGACTCAACGGTAATAAGTGATATCGGAATGGGAGAGCGAGAGTGCGAGCGTGCATACATGGGGTTTATACGACGAGGGAGGAGGGATGGAGAGAGTGAAGTGAGAGAGATGGAGGGGAAAGAGACAGAGTGGATGTGAGCGAGAGAGAGGGTGGTAGCGACTGAGGTGGGGCCAGCGGGAGAGAGGGTGGTAGCGACTGAGGTGGGGCCAGCAGGAGAGAGGGTGATAGCGACTGAGGTGGGGCCAGCGAGAGAGAGAGGATGGTAGCGACTGAGGTGGGGCCAGCGAGAGAGAGGATGGTAGCGAGAAAGTCGGACAAGAACGAAAACAATGACGTCAGCATTTTTACCTAGCCCATTAATTCGTACGCTCGTCAGGCACCGTCTGCCTGCCTGCCTGTAGCTCGCTCTCTGCCTGCCTGCCTGCCTGCCTGTCCGCCCACCTGCCTGCCTGCCTGTCCGCCCACCTGCCTGCCTGCCTGTCCGCATGCCCGCCCACCTGCATGTCTGCCTGTCCGCCAGCCTGCCTGCCTTCTGCCTGTATGCCCGCCCGACTGCCTGCCTGCCTCCCTACATGCCTGCTCACCAGCCTGCCTGCATGTCTGCCTACCCGCCTGCCTGCCTGCCTTCTGCCTGTATGCCCGCCCGCCTGCCTGCCTGTTCAATTTTGTTGTCTGTTACTTAGTTGATAAATGGAAAAATGCTTGGTTATAATTGATATCCTGCCTTTTAGGTATAGGGATACATGTTTATAAAGGACCCATGGAATGATTTCAGTACTAACTAGAGCACTCGGAGAGCACAGACCTCCGCCAAGGCAGCTGAATTCTGTCACTGTGAAATTTTTTTATTAATTAATTAATTAATTAAATAATTAATTGGATCCGGATGACGACCAAAATGTAATCAATTCTAACTTACCCGATTTCTGACGTATCCTGAAAATTTAATTA